GTTTTACAACATAAAAAATGAAATTTAAAAAATGACTAGATGTAGAACTTTTTGTTTTTGAAGGACCCATACTAACAATCCATTTTAGTGCATGTATAGCTCTCCAGCAAAAGGAAACACAACGAAACATGAGAAGTATATTACAGATGTAAGAATTCTTCCCACAGATAACTTATCTGCCAATTTGAAATCCCCATTAGGTATAGTAATTTCAACTTTTAAACATTCCCAATTTTCTTATTGTTTGTCAGATTTTGTAATAAATTGCACCAATTCATTTTTTAATTTTCCTTTATTCATTCCATTCCTCTTGTTCATCTTGATGTGTAGGATTGCCTCTTAATAACATGTATGTGTGTGTTATGCACACAGTGATGAATAATGCAAAAGCAAAATAAGTTATCTTTTACTATCAACACTTCAACAATTTTCAAATTTATCTAGAAAATATTTCCAGTAATTTATATACATGTATATGTCATTTAATGGGCCAAGATACCGGTAATGGTAATTTTTTTTATAATTCATTTCATATCCATATTTCCATTTATTTAATCATCCCTGGACCTTTCCATAATTGCTATAGTTATAATGATCTGAATGTAGATGTAAAAGGTATATGTAAGACCAGACTAGACATTCAATAATGCTCCTCTACAATACAACCTATCTCATTGTACTCTGCATAATAAATATATATCGACTAACACTAGTGGGAGCTCTTCTTCATGTATATGGTGTTAGGCTGCAGACAGGTAATTCATCAACCCAAAATGCATTCTAGGATGACAGAACAAACTTGATAGGAAATTACTTGATTAAATAAATTCATATAAAATCAAGCAACTGTTCTCTGTCAATTTTAATTTTTCACACAATGTTAAATAGTCAGAGGCTTCTTAATTTTACCTAGGGGCTGCAGTTAAAGCCCCTCAAAATTGTCGGGAGCCCAAATTCGCCAACAAATTTGATGGCAAAATTTCACTTAAATAATGTGAAAGAGAATGTAATTTAGAGCCCCACTGCATTTGTTTGGCCAGGAGGAATTAGACATCCCAGCATGGTCACTGACAGATGGTTATCTCATCAAATCAGCTCTCAATTAACATAAGAAAAAGAGGATCATGGGGGAACAATGGTCACCAATTAAGAAAAGTTTGCTATAGGGAGGGCGCAAGTAGCTATTCTGGTAATGTATAGTATTGCAGTGGGGGCATTAAGACATATTTCTGCAAGGATTTTTTTTTTTTAAATTGCGTTTGAAATCGAAAATTGATAAAAGTATATAAAATGTATGTAGGACAACAGAAAATGCAAATTATGTATTCTCTTATATTAGCAGCAGTGTGTCTTAAATGACATTATGGTACAATTTAGTGAAATTTTGCCTTAATTTTTTTGGGTGAATTTGAGCCTCACAAAACTTTAGAGGGGCTTTAATTAGCCTGTTTTTGCGTACTTTAAAGATGCATGGTAGTGGGCTCTATTGGGGAATTTGACACCATTTGAGTGTTTATCCAGTAACAATCAACAGGTTTAGCCTTCAGTTATATGATCAGCAGGCCTTACCGTAAATCTCCGTGTATAAGGCGCACTTTTTTGCCGCCGAAAAAATTTGAAAGTCGGGGGTGCGCCTTATACACAGGTACAGAAAAAAAGTTTTTTTTTTTTTTTTTTTTTTTTTTAGTTTCGATTTATGGCGCTATGCCTGGCAATGTCACCCAGCTCAGTAATCAGTGTGTTGACTCACCACTCGGAAACTACAACAACACTCAAATTTGTCTGTCATCTTGGTTTGAAAGTAATCTTTCTAATAGATCTCAATATGTAGTTTATAATAATAATTCCTCAAATATTTTTTTCTATAACAAATGGTGTACCACAAGGTGCACCACTGGTACCATATGTACTCTTTTGTTTTTAATTTACATTAATGATCTTACACATTCTTCTAAAAATGACATTGTTACTATTATTTGTGACATGTTCACAAGCACAAATCAGCGCCTTCAACTGCACCTCGATGTAAAATGAAGGACCTTCCCCGCGTGGGTTTTCTGCAACAAAACAACAACAACAACAAAAAACTTTTTTTTTTTTTCTTTTTTCTTCTTCCCCAAAATAGGGGTGCGCCTTATACACAGGTGCGCCTTATACACGGAGATTTACGGTATGTAATGTTCTGCATTTTCCACCAATCGATAGAAAGGGGGTATTTCTTGATGGGACCACGGGTATGCTGTGTGCAGACTTGTACACACTCATTAATGGTATTTCCACGAAGTCAGGTGTCAGTGAGTTATGACCTACCGCACACGGAAACTGACTATCATCTCCCTTTTAAATACTTTATCTCTGTTTATTTCCACTGTTTCAGTCTGTGGTTTGACGATAGTTGTGTTTAGCAGTGTTTCAGCCTTCCAAAATTTACTTTGGGGCAGAAAAATTGCCCAGTCTGGCACATCTTTCAGGAGATATTTGTATTTTGTCTTTACTCTGATCCACTGATAGATTCCTACTATCACAGCAACACAGCTTGAGATTGCTCAAGTGTCCCCCAAACCAAACATTGCATACCTTCACAAATTTAGACCCAAACAGACACCTAAATAATGTGATAACTTTTCTTATTTTGTTTGTCTGAGTATTCCTGTCCCACTGCCGCCTCCCGGCCAGTAGGCAGGTAATCTTGGACCTGCCACTACCCCCTCCCTCCCTCTTTCAGAGTTTTCATTTTTTATAGTTTTTCAGTCTCTAGATATTGGCGATTTATAAATTCTTGGATTGGATTGGATATAGGATTGGATTGGAATATGATTTACATTAATTTCCATTCTTTGAATAGGTGTTTCACTTTGAAACTTTAAAGTGGTTATTTTTATTGAATTTATTTTCACACTTTTTCCTCTCTCATAACCTTTATTTTGAGCTTGGAACTTGATAAAAACAACAGTGAAGATTGCATTTCTGTGACCACTGTATTAATCTTCGCTGATTTTCTTCCCAATGAGTAAATCCCTGCTTCGCTGTCTCTTTGGTTTCTTTAATCCTTTTCTCCATCTCTCTCACTCTCTCTTTCTCTCTCATTCTCTGTCTGTTTGTCTCTCCCACCCCCCCCCTCTCTCTCTCTCTTTCTCTCTCTATCTGTCTCTCTGTCTGTTTCTCTTCCCTTTGCTCTTTATTTATTTCTCTCTCTCTCTCTCTCTGTTTTAAACAAGTACATGCATTGCTCTATTTTGCTTTGTGTCTTTTGATTTCAATCACTCTCCTGCTCAAGCATCTTTAGCTATGAGTTTAGCTACTGGTGCTACTATACAGAAGGCCAAACACATTTCAAGAATGTTATGAAATTGCATGAACAGTGACAAAGATAAAATATATTTAAAGGTAGTGTATCCCTTTTGCAGCCAACATAAAATTCTGTGGAACTTTGCAGGAATTATGAACATGTCATGTTTGTCCTATCTGTAAAATTTAAACGTTGGCAGTGTCCTTTTATTCAAATGATGCAAGGAAGGCTGTTTACTTTCTAGACTTCACTGTCAGACACTATTGAGTGACTGACTGACTTTTTTTCTTCTTTGGTAACAACATACATAAAATGAGCTGTAAAGGGTACATGGGCATTTGCCTACATCAATAACCCACTTCTTGTAATTGCCAAAATGAAACTGATTGAATGTTTGCACAGCACAAAACATACGACCATTCAGCACAAGGGTCTTAAAATCAGACTATTTAATTAAACGAGCCCTCTCGCTGAATCCGATTCGACAACTAACTATTTTACCACAAAAAACATTTTCAAGCCCTTTTATTTTGAGGGAAGTTCATAATTAGTATTATCTTTCAAATGCTGTTGGAATTTAACCTGCAGGCCTGTAAATGGGACATAGTACCTTTTAACTAGTAAATGATTTTGCTCTAGATTTACAACTGAGTTTAAATGACTGTTCAGAACCCCCGTCAGGTAGATACATGCTAAAGGACCAGACGGACCCCACTGATAATGATAACTCTAATGATTAAACATTCCCAACCCGCTCACCTCTAAATTACATGTAAAAGGCAATGAATATCATTGTAGGTGAGACGAATGCTAACGAGCCTCCCATAACGATTCTTCAGACAGACCTCACACTTTCAATGAGATAACAATTAACAAAAAATGATGTGGGTATTGTTCCTCGTTATTGGACAGCACCCAAACTATTTTATCAGTCAGTTGTGACCACTTTTGTCATTATCAGTACATTACATAAGCACACACAATGTAGATTATTGTAATTGGTGAAGACTGACCAACCCTCTCCATTGTCAAATACCAATGCGAACTATAATAAATAATTGCCCATGACAGACACTAAGTGAAGAGATTTAACCTGTTTATAGTGATGGATGCGAATGGGTTCATTATACAATCTATCTGCACTCCAGTTGAGGGTTCATGTATCTATAATTGAGGCCGAGTGATAGGTCCATAAACAGCCTCAACAAGAGTGGATAGATCCTGTACTGAACAAATTTAAACATGCATCATCTGTTTTATAAAATGAAACTCCAAGAACCTTATCAATTAATCTAAGGAGAATTCATTTCAAGATAATTTTTGTGTCATTATCAAAGACAAATTTATCAGCCCGAAGTTTAATAGGCTTACTTTAGCACGCACACAGAGATAAGCACACTTACCTCTATTCACATCAATGCGCAGTGACTGCTATGCATGTATTAACCCACACACAGCATGAGCGCATTAACATCTACTGTACACACAGTGCTGCGCATCGCATGCTTACAAATCGTCGGGAAGTACTGAAAACTATCGCACACTTTTTAAGGAAAAAGTGTGTGCTAGTCTCAGTAAATGCGTCACACATGACCGCATTTGACCAATCATTTGATTAGGACCAATAGGATCTAGGTGTGCGTTGTAGAAATATATATACCCTTTAACACCTTACACTTTAAAAATAAAAAAAAATGAATTGAAAACTTACACATCTACAAATAGCACAGATTCTCCCCAATAACGCTCCTTGCATAGATCCTGCAGGTACTGTAAATGAAACGATAGAGAAACACAGATGAACATCAAGGTACAGGTGAAGGATAATCACTTCTCTTTCCTAAACGGTAAATATTTAGTATAATTTATCAACTTAGACCTCTGCAGTCTCTACATCAAAAATCCATCAACTAGACATTTAAACTTATCACTCTACTTCTGCACTGAAGACATAGAAAGTGTTTTTGTTGGTAGACCGCTATATTGATATTGTTGATGTTTTTTACTTGAGGCAATAATTGCCTAGCTGTGTGTAGTGACCCAATTTGCTGCTGTTGCTGGTCGCTACACGACTGGCCCTGGCGGTCATTGTGTGGGCATTTTCGGTGGCTTGAGGAAGCAAAATGAGTGGTCGCTGGTTGCATTAGGCAGGTGGTCATTGTGAACGGGTTCTTAACTACATGAAATCTTACGGGGGAATTTTTAAGTGGTTGTTATAGATAGGTGGTCGCTAAGACAGGTTTGACTGTATTTCAATATATCTGACTTTTAGTCAAGCTAGCAAATGTGTCCTAAATTGTGAAACTACACAAAAATACCTATCCATGAAAAACCACTCTATGCATAATATGAAGGCCTATGATTTGGGCTGGTTGATGCCATATTAAGTGCTTGTGAGGGGTCAAGTTTGTCAAACTTTGTGAAAGAATTAGTCAGAGAATAATGGCATGTATACAGTCGTTTTTCCTTAGTGCATTTAGAACTTCTTAGAGGTATTTCAAATATTCCTCATGAATAATATCAGTCCAAGAAAATCATCCTTATGTCTATATATATATTTTTTGGGGGGGGGGGGATGGGGGATAGGGGGTTATTTTATTTTTTTAATGGAAAAAGCAATTCTACATAAGAAAAAAAAAATGATAAAGAACACAACAAATATTTATATAATCCATATCAGAACTTTGTTTGATCTGTCTTTGAACTAATAGTACTCAAACAGTACTAGTACCCAAAGTGGGATGTGTCCAAGATTAGTTTTTGTCAGAGAGCGTACACGTGACCGGTCATTGGTAAAATCATGTTATAAAACATCATTTTATATCAAAAATTAATAAAACATCATCTTATAAAACAAATAATACACATCATTTTGTTCGGGCATTAGTAAAATTACCCACACTCAGTACCTTTGAAACAGTCCAAACACCATTGGCTATCGCTTCAGGCATGTTAGACTGTTCGGAAGGTACCTTGTGTGGGTAATTCTTACTTATGCCCTCACTGATGTGTATTATTTGTATACTCACACGCTTTGTTCGTTGATACTCACAGTGGATAGTCATTCCACTATATAAATAGTAACTGTAATAAATGAAGTGCAACGCACCAGCCCTTAAGATGTTGATAAGCAGCTTTTGTAACGTATCTGGTATTGCGTTCACCTCAAGATGTAGATCGTTAAAGGGTTTTATTTAATGAAAGCTTGTGACAATATCATAAGCTATTCATGCCTTTGAAACACAGTTTCATTAAATTTGGACATGCATCTGCCGCATCAGTGATCGCATGCTAGATCTACATACCTAGCATGTACCACTATGAGTTGTTTTACTTGTATCGTGACAGTATTGTACTGGCATTCAAAGACAGGTTTGACTGTATACATGTATATATATATATATATATATATATATATGTGTGTGTGTAGCTTAATACAAACGTCTCCAGTATAGCAGATTTCTTAGCTTCTACACGATACAGGTATAACTCCTTATTACTAGCATTGAGAGGGTTAACAAACTCTTACCCCTGGGTCAGCTGATGGTATGTCCAGAGAGTCTACTATATGAAGATCATCTTGAGTGTATTTGATACAGGTATAACTCCTTATTGATAGCATTGAGAGGGTTAACTAACTCTTACCCCTGGGTCAGCTGATGGTATGTCCAGAGAGTCTACTATATGAAGATCATCTTGAGTGTATTTGACAGTCAGTGCTACCCTCAAACCATGAGCTCTAATCTTCTCAGGTAAAACGTACCAGTAGCTTCTGGGACCCCTGGGTCCTAATGCTTTACCCCCTGCAATTTAATCAGGTACAAAAAAGGGTTATAGTTTAGTATTAACAAAATACTGTCTAAGCAGTTATTTTTGCTTGGGTTTTATTTTTCGTGAATTTTGCGAATCACTTGTTGATCCTGAATTTAACAACCCATGAAAATATTTATTATGACTGTGGTACACATGAATGAATTGATGATCCACAAATTAGAAAGACAATTATTGAATAAAAGTTTACAATTGGTAGTGGTTGTGGCTTCATGCAAATTTAACAACTCACAAATTTGATCATGAACTCTTGATCTGCACAAACATCTCTACACAAAAATATTGGCTTATACAGTAACTTGTAAGATTTCCTTTTTGTAATGAAGAGTTTCATCATGAATATACGAAAATGAAACAATACCTCTTGAAATGTCTATAAATGTCATAATAGAGAACATACCAATAACATAGAGAATAGTCAACATGAACTTAGATAATAAGTTATAAGATGCAGATCTGAAATGAGATATTTATATATATGCCTGGTACATGGAATATAATAACAGAAGATCAAATAATTACTTTCATACTGATTACAGGTACAAATATCATTTTATTCACATGTGTGTAAACATATTTTTAATGAATTGGTATTACACAATGAAAGAAACACAGAGGGTACATGTAAGCATACTTGAGCTAACAGTTAGGGATGGTTCATTGAAGAAAACACAGCAACTTATGTTGTTTAGTGTTTTCTTGTTAGTGCTAGTGAGCAACATCAAATTGTCTGGTGGTCCAGATGCAGTGTATATGCCACAGTTTAGGAACTCGGGATTGAGATGAGTTCCTTTCATATATACCAGTTTACTGACCTCCAATCCAGATAGGTGATCTTGTACTGCCATGTCGTGCTCGTCCAGTACCCTTCTGTCGCCATGGTTTCTTCCCGCCTCCTCTCACCTCTGCCCTACTTTTAGCCTTGGCCATACTCTAAAGCAAGTACAAAAACAAGGTGTGAATTAAACAATCTAGTTTACCTTAGCACATTTTATTAGCAGACAAATTTTGAGTTCATTTTTCATCGATAGCTTGTAAGAAATGTCATAAGATTGAGTTACCTAACAGCCTAATGAATTAATGTACGCTTATTTTCTATCTCACATTTGAATAGAATGTGACGAACTTAGATTTCTACCAGTTTCTTGCAATGGGCCAGAGTGGACAAAAGTTTCTGGCTCTCAGCTTGGATTTGTGATTGTGTGGAACAAGAGAAAGATTAGAAAACATGGCGATTTTACAGGATTGTATATGGTAATGTTACTCAATGCCTCCAAGAAAATCATAAAAAGGATTTTATTTTTGCGATTTCTACAAATCATTACTTTACATAAACGGTGCATGCCCCTAAGTTCAAACCATGCATACTGGTTCACATGAAACATTTATTTAAACAAACATTCACCTCCAAATTCAGAACTATATTTGGTATATAAAAGATATATGGACTGCTTTAATATTCGAAGCATAGCTGTTTCTGTACTGGCTCTCGGGGACGTTACATCCTGTATAACGTCTCCTTGAGCCTATAGAAACAGCGATGCCTCTCATAGCAATCAATATATCTATAATATCAAACACCAAACCATGCATTATTTGTACAATGTATTAATCTCAATGGATACATACTATTCTCTTGTAATTTCTCTGCCACAGTACATTCCTATGCAAGATGTCTAACCTGTGAATATACAAACAGAATCACATTAAAATACATGTATGGGACCAAGCAGCAGAAAAAAGAAGAAAGTGGGAAATGAAACAGAAAAGGCTTTATCTATAAAGTCTAGAGATACAAACTGGGTTCAAATCCTGCTTGAGGCAGTTTAAACAACTTTTGCAGCCACAGTCAAACCTGCTTTCGTGACCACCTGTCTACAAAAAACACATTTTTTGTTTCCCTAAAAAAAAGGTTTCTCATTGAAACATGTACTAAAGGAACCTGTCTACACAGACCTCTTGTTGTGTTTCCCTTGGGTGGTCACTAGAGACAGGTTTGACTGTATTTCCACAATATGGAATAACAATGAATTCATAGCTGCACTAAATTATTTCTTGCATCAAATTAATTTCTGGCATTAGATTAATTTACCAATGGGAGTTGCCGATACTTAATTACTACTGTATTAAATTCTAATATTTATTTCTTACATGAATTTATGAGCTTGAATACAACTTTACCTTTTATTAAAGGTACTATAGTCCCATTTGCAGACCAAAAAAATAAAAAAGTTTAATTCCAACAGCATTTTAAAGATAATATTAATTTAGAACTTCCATCAAAACGAAAGGGCTTGAAAATATATTTTAGTGTGGGAATAAACGAGCATTACTGGTCAAAATTGACTTTAGTGATTGCAATCATTTTAGTAATAGTCTGATTTTCAGACCTTTGTACCAAATTGTTGTACGCTTTGTGCTGAGTGAAGATTCAATCAGTTTAATTTTGGCCAATACAAGAAGTGGGTTATTGATGTAGACAAATGCTCATATACCTTTACAGCTCATTTCATGTATGTTATTACCAAAGAAGAAAAAAAGTCAGTCAGTCACTCAATAGTGTCTGACAGTGAAGTCTAAAAAGTAAACTTAAATTTCACAGACAGGACATACCCGACATATTCATAATTCCTGCAAAGTTCTACAGAATTTGATGTTGGCTGCAAATGAAACAAAGTACCTTTAAAGCATTTTACTTTCAGGGCTCCACAATACAAACGTTTTGGAAGGGGGTCCTGGTTGAACATTTTACAATCTCTATCCATGATTCTTAAGTAAAAAAAACTTTAAAAATCTAGGAGAGTCCAGACTTGAAATGTCCCTTTCTACCTATCCTTTAATACCCTGAGGAGGATGCATACCTTGGAAATGTAGCAAAGACATGTGGATGAAGATCCAGCAGACCAAGCTTGTTATCTTCTAGTGAATTTATGGTCTCTAGCCATGCCTGAATAGGTTCTACCGTGGGATCAGGGTGAAGTAAGTCTCTGCTGGTAATCATGGGTAGGCCTGATGCCTGCTCACTAGAGTAAGCTGCAAAATTTGAAAAACAGACCTCTAAAAAGTTAAATGTGACACCATACTATATGGAAGAATATGAAATCTTCATGCAGGTTCGGTTTACCTTGTAATGATTACAAACTGACCTTGAGCAAAAACATAAGATGATAAGGATGTCACAGTCAATGGTGAATGGTTGTGGCAATTTTATATTTAGCTTAAATCCCCTCTATAAAGTGTTGGGAGCCCCAAAACTATGATGGCAAAATTTCACTTCAATTGTTTCATAATATGAAAGAGAATGTCTTTTGAGACACATTTCTGCAACAATTTCCAAAACAAATGGCTTTGAAGTTGAATATTGATGAAAGAATACAAAATTTAGATTTTCGGCGTACAACAGAAAACCCAAATTATCTATTCTTATATCAATATTTGTCTTCAAACACATTTGGGGGAAATCTTTGCAGAAGTGTGTCTTAAATGACACCCTCTTCCACATTATGATACAAAATTAAGTGAAATATGCCTTCAAATTTTTGGCGAATTTGGGGCTCCAAACACTTTAGGGTCTTTAAAGGGAAATAGACTTTAAACAAATTTAAAGTACTTTAGAGGAAAGCAGAAAAATCAGAGAAGCAAAATGATGAAAGGTTCATCTAAATCTGACCCAAAATAGGAAAGTTATGAATTTTTGAAAGTTGTAATCACTATACGTATGGGCACTTCAAATTGGCTGAAGCGGTAATGTCAATGTTATGCAATGCCGGACTACTTTCCTGTTTGTTCCAACATATCAAATGACTAAAATTTAATTCTTCAAAAGTTTATGGCTCAGGAGGGTCTACTCTATGTAAAGGACCTACATTGTATATACCGGTATGCTAGCTATATATATATTTTGAGTAGTGCCCCAAGAGAGATGAAATTTATGAGAAAAACAGAAATTAGTGATATTTTTGTACACAGCAAATGGGAGGGTTATCCACATCCTACGTCACAATCCACTAACCAAACTACCAATTTGAGATTCCCATAGACTTAGTGATCTCATATTTCAAACATTCATAACTTCCTTACTATTGGTTCGAATCATTTCAACCTTTTGCCATTCTGTTTCTGTTATTTTTCTGCTTTCATACAAATCAACTTATTACAAGGGTTGGATTGCCCTTTAACAAGAGCAATTAATCCCACAGATATATTTTAAAAAAGAGAAGTGATATATAACATTGTTGGTCAGAATCTAAATAATAATAATAATAATAATAATAATAGTACATTTATAAAGCGCAGAAACTATCCAACATTAGGTATATATTCTACTGCGCTACAAGAGCTCCTGATATGCTTAGATTTACGGTACAGTTGTTTAAAAAAAAGTGTTTTCAGTTTTCAGTTTTTCAATCCATTGCAAAGTCACAATTGTCTACCCCTTTATAGTGACTGATCCCATCAATCTAAAATTGAGTCAGTTGAGTTGCTCTGGAATTGCTTCAATGCTGGACCGAAGGTATGACAGTTTTTCATCATTTGAATTTCATAATGAAGTAATCACATGAAAAGATTAATGGCAATGCTCTCATGAAAATAGCCGAAGTCCTTACTTGGCTGCACAGATAATACAAAAGAAAATGACAACTTACATCTATTTGAAGTGTTTTTATTCCACTGGATAAGGCATGGGCAGGCTGGTGAAGCTTTCAAATGACATGACCATGAAGACAGGGGACGACCTCTACATGCTGAATTTAGGACAGTCTGGAGAAAAAAAGGTATTCAAAAGATTACAAAGAAATGTTTAATTCCGAGTCCTATCTGATTTCACATGGAGATAATTGTAAGAACACAAGCAAGTATATATTTCAAAAGAAAAAAAAATGCAGTAATGAAAAGAAATATCACAATTCTGCGTCGATATTAACTATCAAAGCCACTGTCCAATATTGGTCGGGTGCGGGAAAGTGTGATTTTGGACACATTTTAGATGTTGTTTACCTACCTCTCCATGGGACCCTATGGGAGCAAATTAAGGCTCCCTCGAATAATATCATAAAAAACATTTCAAGGGAGCCCTTGAGGCTAGGCGCGCGTGTGTTGTGTTCAGTTGGCGACCGTAGACTAAGATAACGCGCCCGCAATCGACCGTCGGGACATAGACTATGTAAATGTAATAGGGAGGCCAATGCCCAAATCTAACTTTTTAATTACTAATTTGTTTATAATAAAACAAACATTAAAAGAAAGGATTTTCTTTCACTAAGACAACTCACCCATCTGCCAACTCCAGAATTTCCATAAAATAGGAGATATCCAGCTCTTTCGTAGGCCTTTCCTTCTACGCCTGGCCGTACGTAAGAGCCTTGAAACATTTCATGGTCCCCAAAATTACGTTGAGAATTAGACAGGCCCGAGGGAAGAGGCGTGTCATTGTCCTGACAACAAGTTCAAAACTTCGCGCGAAAGTACATTCGTCAACACCAGCTAGCCTTGAATCGATCGCACACACCGAACCAGGCATGCAAGCCGCAATACACGCTGAAATTGAAATCGATGTACGTACGAGAACTAGATCCACGAGAAAAAAAAGGAAGGAAAGAACTAGATCTAAATGTAAATAGCATTGCACCATGCACCTTGCTCTCGTAAGCACACACACACTCATCAGTCTGCAAGAATCTTCAACTGTGAAGGAGGTAGACTTAACCCAAAGAAGAAGAAGAAGAAGAAGAAGAAGAAGATCTAATTCATTAATATTTACCTTAGATTGTTATTCCAATATTCCAATGACTTGATTTCCTCATGAGTATTATGATTTCAGTTTACTGTAGTGTACAAATCAACTAGAACGACCTCCAAAATCCAAGTCACAGCGAGATCGACACATTAATCCGGAATGATACTATGTACATATATGCATATCGCATAGCATGCGTACTTAACTTAGATCTCTCTCTCTCTCCATGGCTATACGTACATGTAATACTATGTATCATCCACTACATCATGACTTTTCATCCACTTCTCAATCGGAGTATAGACTGCTCACGTAGACATTTTTTACTGAAATATCTTTTTTAACATTTTTCACGCATTTTGTAAAAATCTGTGTTTAAAAAGATATAATCTTTTTTCTTTATATTTTCTAGTTGTCAAAAGTGACATTTGTGCACATGTGATATGTTAATCTCTATCAAAAGTTCTTTGATATTATATTGATTCCCTATTTTTAGGCTCTACCTTCAGTCATTGAGAAAGATTTAAGTGAGCTAACCTCCGCGCCCTCTAAGACCCCTCTGTGCGCGTTATGTTTCGTCTGCTAGTACAATTATTGGATTCAAATATGTCAAAATATGCAAGATCGTCAACAAATGGTGAAAGACCGTTGAAGATCTGTGTTCATAGGTACATGTAGATCCTATGTTGTGGAGTGTACAATTGTATTTTTGTTATAATTATTCCATAGATTTTTTTTTCTTTATTTTTTTCTTCTGGTAATTTTCTGACTTGGACGACGAGCGCACAAATCGTAGGCATAGAAGCCTTATGCCCGGGCATTGGCCTCCCTAATTCCTTGTGCTTCACATCTTTTTTAACTGATAAGAAAATTCACACAAAACATAGAGTAAAGGAGCCGGTTTTCGGCCACTTAAGACAAAATCCTATTTTTTGGACCCTTTATTTCCTATTTATTATCATTTTTTGTTCAAATCATGAAGCAAATATTATTATTATTTAAACAAAACAAGAATCCCAGAAAAAAATCACGAATTGCCATGACAATATTCATTTCAATTTTCACTGTTTCGGAGTCAGTTTTCGGCCGCATGTACAAAGTCAATAGGAAGCGCGCGCACGCGCCGTGCATTTCCGCGCTGATCTATAGCACTAGCGGGCGGAGCAGATATCCTACGCCGGAGCACGCCGGAGCTCGCCAGGCCGAAAACTAGTACTGCGGTGATCGGATATTGGAATCTGAATTAGACAGAGATATCGTGTGTGTGTTGCTGTGTGCAGCTGCATTGATTTAATACATGCGATGAGATACTTTTGAGCTTGCGACTAGCACAAAATCTGGCTCTAAATCTGAAAAATACTTGAAATAAAGCTCATTTTATGGTACCCATATTTCTTACAGACACGCGTAAGATACTCGATTTTTCAGATTCGGGTAGCGGGACCGCCGATTACATCGCTAAAATGTGATATTTTACTTTTAGGATATATTTTTCATTGCAAATGGTTCTTCAGTGACACTGCACTGGCATGGTATGGTATGTGTGGGATATGTGTTATGCTATTATGCGATGTATTTTAGAGGGATTTTACCTTGCATCCAACCAATCGGCCGAAAACTGGAGCTGGCCGATTACCGGCTCCTTTTGCTTTACCGTATTTTCCGGCGTAAAGGCCGCAGTATTTTCGGGTAAGAAAAAATCAAAAAGTCGGGGTGCGGCGTATACGCAACAACAACAAAATTCAGCGGTCAAAACATCACGTCCATTTGCACGTATGGGACTATAGGAACGGTAGCATGACTAGACAACGGTACAGGACAATTCTAGAATAACTCCACACAACTTACCGACAAGTTTATGTTGCATAGTTGACATGAAGACGAAAAAACTTGTTTTTCTAATAAAATCTGCCGATAGATCTAGATCTAAGTCCATACCATTGCATCGCCAAAAAGTAAACAAAGGGACAGGCCGTTACTTACGGAGCTAGCTGCCGCGCAACGCAACTGCGCAGGTCGAAAAATGCTATTTCGGATTACACCGCACATCGAGGAAGGGGTATTGTAGGATACCAAATCTGCGTACGATACAGTACTAGCTTAAAAGTCGATAAAGATCTGCTAAATTATGATCATTTTTGAGGTTAACTTCTTGTTGATTTATAAGAATATTGATGAATTTGGTATAGTTTGTAAAAAAAAGAGTGTTCTACAAGAAAATTACGATCATTTTGTTTGGTCCGTTTTTTTTTTCTCTTTTTTTTTTTTTCCTCTTTTTTTTTTTTTTTTTTTTGCGGTGCGGCCTTTACGCCGGCAAATACGGTACTCAAACTAGATTGTCTAGATAGTGCAGCGGCTTAGCAAGAAAATTGTGCACTTTTTGATAAAAGCATGAAACTTCTAGCATAGTTTGCTTTCACCATAAGATTTATTTTCAGATGTGGAGGGAAGTCAGATTTGACCTCTGATGACCCTGAGAGGTCAAATTCAAAATGGCCGCCAGGCCGCATGGTCTAATGTACAAACATGCTTAACTTTTGAACCAAATAGTCCAGAGAAACGTTTAAGGTGTCATTTCCAACTAAGTTGGGGATGCCAATTCATTCGGTAATACTTTTGAGATCGCCTGAACTCAGGGTTTTGCATTTAGGTCAAGGTCAAGGTCAAAATTGACTAAAAATAGCAAGTTTTGAATGGTTACAAATGGTTAAATCTCATTTATTTGTCATTTGTTCTCAAATTTCTTTAGGAATGGTTCCCCTGAATAGTCCTTTTTCAATTCAATTCAATTTTTTTTTTTTTTTTTTTTTTTCAATTCAAGGTATTTTATTCACTCATTGTAGCCAAAGGCTAAATTACAAATGAATTTACAAAATTCAAAACGTTAAAAACATCATACAAATTAAAAGGAATCATACACAATATTGTAAAAATAAATATTAAAGCAAATGAAAGTAACTATACATGTATAATGCTAACATTATAAAAATATTGCTTACAAACAAAGACAATTTTGGAATTTAAAATTTAAATATAAATATTATTATCCACTTTCCATCAAAATTTAAAGCTTTGTGTAAAGTGACTTGAGTGGTATCTGATGGTAAAAAAGATAAAAAAAAAATGATTATTTTTCATTAAGTTTAATTAAAGGAGTTATGAGTTTTCTATTAAATATACAAGTAAAGGTATAATCATAAGGAACAAACATGAAAAATCAATACAAATTCACAAGTGATTAAATAGCTATAAGTTCTGAATTGTAAGAAGTAGACTGGCAAGTGGTCAATAAAGTATGCTTGGGTTGTATCAAATAATTAATTGATTAAAAAGGGTATTATTAAACTTAAAAAACACTAAATTAAATGAGTGTAAACAAATGTTCGGCGTTTCTATGGAAAATATAATAAATGTTTAATATACAGTCATAGCTAGTGAAATTTAATATGTACGAATGTAAATTATACTATTAATCTAATGTAAGCCAGATTCATGAATAGGGTAAAAACAAGTTTGTGATAATCAATGATCATTTCTGGTTTAAAAGTCTCACAAGAAATGGGAGAGCACTTTTCCGATAGCGCTCTGTTCTACATTTCACAGGCCTGTACTGGTCACTGAAACGTAGTGCACGGAGTTCAGATTGCTTAGGGGGCAACCATTGGGGAAAGTTTTTCTCAAGTGATTTGGCAAACTTGACACACAGTTTGACACGTCTTTCCGACAAAGTGGTAAGTTTTGTAGTTATTAGTGCATTCTCATACGTTTGGTACTCTCTGCCTAGAATGATGCGAAGGGCCCTTTTCTGTATACTTTCTATCTGGTTGGAGTCCGCTAAGGTCAGGGAAGAATGCCAAACTGGGGCGCAATATTCGGTAATGGGTCTGATGTACGACTGGAACACGGTAAGTAAATCTTCTGCGGGAAGTCCAAACTTTTTGAGGGTTCTGAGCATGTACAGTTTTTTACTTGACCTTGAAACAACGTCGCAGACATGCTTGTTCCATTTCAGGTCATTCTGGAT